GAATAGCTGGGCACGCAGGTGTGTTGCAGCTCAGAGATGCTGCCAGCACGCCCTAAAGCAGAAGCGCATCCCAGTGCTGCCCCTTTCAGGTGACAAAACCCATCTCCACGCTGCCCAGGAGCCTCCGCATCCCACACAGGCTCTGACTGAGGGCATGAAGGCTCCAAGCACAGGATGTGGGTGCTTTTACACTAAGAGGGGTTCACGCTGCCCTGGGGGGTGTGCCCAGGTTGCACGGAGGAGTTGGTGTTGCACACTCAGCTGCTCCTGTGGTGCCCAGGGGTGGATTTGGGATTCCCCTTCTCCGGAAACACGAGGTGATGGGGAGCCAGGGCTGCTAGCAGAAATGGCATTTGCATTGCTCAGCACTTTTTCCTACCAATACTGCTCCTATGTCTGTAAGTTATTTATAAGAGGAGATTACTAATGGACTGGAGCAAGAGGAATGCTTTAGGGGTCGATGGAAGCAGTCCCGCATGATGGTTAATTACAGTAATAAAATGGTGAATCGTACACGGCGTCCCAGCAGTGGTACCTTCAGAAATGACAGAGCTCTATTGATCTTTCCGTGCCATCTTGGCAGCCTCACACTGACTTCCTCTCCATTTTGTCAACTCAACCTTTCACCCTCCTGCACTGTCTTCTAGCGCATCCTTCCTGCTCTCCGGCTCTTTCTCCCCGAGGGGCCCTTTGCTGCCTTTCTGCACGTTTCTTGCTCATCCATCCCTTGTGCTGGTGGTGCCTTTTGGTTGGCCATCCGAGGAGCGGCGCGGTAGCAGAGGGTGGAGAACAAGGCATCGTTACCAGAAATAACCATTTTATTACCAATTCAATGGATTGCTTCTCGATGTTTCTGTTCTTCCTGCGCTGCCCATCCACGCTTTGCTTTTTGCACAGCCCTTGTGCTGCCCTGCGCACGCGCAGCCAACTTCATTTCTCTGCTTACAGCCCCAAGGCGCGCGGTTGCATCACGGCAGCCCTTGGCCCCACGGTGCAAACTTTCAGACGCATGCAGAGCTCAGAAAGCCCCCACCTTGCGCTTTCCCAGGCAGGAAGGAGGCCAAGAAGTGAGAGAACGAGCAGGAAGAAGCAAAAGGTTGCTCAGAGGCTGAGGCGCATCAGCACCCTGAGGCCATCGTGGGGTCAGAGATGAGCGCAGCAAAGGATGCGAGTGGGCTCAGCTCCAGCAGAGAGATCCCCAAGTGAGCAGGGTGGGCTCCAGCACCGCGGGGATGGGGATTTGTGGGCATCCACCCATCTGTTCCTCCGGCTCTGTGCAGCTGAATTAACCGATCCCATCAATGGGGCGGCCCTACCTCTGCATCTCACAGCCTGCGGGCAGAGTGCAGGTCGTAGTCACTGTCAGAGGAGTTGTCCAGGGCGCTGGCAGCTCGTGCCGTGCCTTCCAGGGCTGTGGATTGAACCACACACGGCTCCTTACCCAGTGCCACCAGATGGTGCCCGCGTTACAGAGCCCCACATTCATCCTTCCCCATGGGAAGGGAGTGCACGTTGCCAGTGTCCTCACCTGGGTATGCCGACAGGCTCTTCTGGGGGGGCTGAGCATAATCATTGTCCCTCCCCTGCGCCCTCTGCTCCTCCACTCTTGCCCTCGGGGTGACAGTGCTGTTGCGGTGGAAGGAGACTGCAAGGCAGGGTGGCTTGGGAAGAGTGCTTGGTGCCACCAAGCCAGCACTGCACTGACAATTCAATGCAGTGGCAAGAAGCAAGAGCTGCTTACAGCCCACACCAAAACCCCGCTCCCTGCTCACCGCTCTGGTGCAATCCTGTGGGGCCGATCCACTGCCGCTGCTTCTTCTTGGAGACTGTGAGGAAGGGATGGAGAGAGGGAGGGAGAGGATGCAGTCAGGTTGTGTCCCCCCAAGAGCCCACTGTGGCCCCATCTGCCATGCCCAGTAATCCTCCTGGTAATCTCCTGTCTCATATTGAGCGCTCATTTATGCGCCTAATCCTCGTGCTGCAGGCAGCACGGGGACGGTGGGGACAGGGTGGTGGCAACGGCGTAGGGAAAATGGGGATGAAATGGTAGCACTGATATAGGAACGGTGAGGATGGAGTGGTAGCATCAGTGTGGGATCCAGGGGAAGGCACATGGAGTGCACATGTCACCCTAAAAACTCCAGAGAGGTGGGGGATGTGGTTGACACAAAGAGAGGGGTTTGGGGACAGGTTGGGGGTCTGGCCACCTACTCCTCTTCATCAGCCTCCTGTAGGCAGGGGGACCACAGATGAGCAGCAGGACTCCCAGCAGGAGCAGGGCCAGGCAGATGCTGGCCACTGTGCCAGGTGCGGTGCCAGCAGGAGGTGGCTTCGACATCTGGCCTGAGAGAAGATGGCGTCACCATGCAGGTGGCACCCCCAAGGGAGTGGCACTGCGAGGGGTGGGCGCACAGCTGCTTACAGACCACATGGGTGCGAGAGCAGCCATAGACCTCCTTGGGGCTCTCGGGACAGAGGTGGAGGTAACGCTCCTTGCAGATGATCCCACTGGCATGGGAGTCCCGCAGCTCGACGCTGAAGGAGAGGTCCCCACAGCGCAGCTCCCTGCAGAGCTGGCGGCCTCGCTCGACACGGTGTACCTGCTCGTCACATAGCACGTGCCAGTGGCCCCTCTGGAACACCTCGATGTGCCCCTCGCATGGCGTGGGGCCGCCTGCCAGCCTGCGCCCGGCACGTGGCTGGGAACCTGCAGGGAGAGGACTGGTGGCACGGTGGCACAGACAGTGCCATCCCATGGCAAGTACAGCCATGAAAACCCACAACAGCAATATGTCATCTCATTAAGCCCCCCGAGCCCCGCAGGACAGCTTCAAAGCCTGAGCAGATGGAGGCGAGGGCCAAGGGCTTGGCAATCCCAAGGCACAAGCAGGATGCTGCGTACATCTTCCAGTAACCAAATGTGTGCAGTTTTGTCTTTGTATGTGAGTGCAAGGGGCACCACTGCCACCCATCCTGTGTCCTTGTCACATGCTCACCTGGGCAGATGAGGAAGGTGGATGCTTTCCTGTGCCCATGGCTGGTCCAGCTGAAGCAGTCGAGTAATTCAGGGCTGGTGCACGGCACCACTGCCTCCCACCTCACGGGCAGGCGGCTCTCTGATGGCAGAGACACGGGGCCACCCACTGGGCCACCAATGGGGTCAACGGTGTCACCCACAGCGACACCAATGGGGATATCACTGGGGTTGTTGCAGCCAAGTGCACGGCAGATGCGGGTGGGCAGCTCCGGCCAAACGTCTGGGCTGAGTGCCACGGCCCCCCATCGGCCCCGCAGGTGCAGCTCCACAAAGCCTGAGCAGCTGAAGTTGCCATCCACCAACCGCAGCCATGGGGCGCCTGGGGAGGGAACAGAGACAGTGCAGCCATCACACACGTGGACCTCGGCCCCAAATTCGCATTGGTGGGGAACAAAATCCTCGCTATGCAAATCCTATCCCGCCACCCAGCTGAGCTTCCGCAGGGTGGCTGTGGGCAGGGGGCTCTCACCGGTGGGCTCAGGGCTGGTGGTGGGAGGCACAGGTGGGGGCTCGGTTCTGGTGGGCTCTGGCTCTGAAATGAGAAGAGAGGCAGCAGGTGGGGGCAGTGGGTGCACAGATGGCCTTAGGAAAGCCATGCTCACCACTGCAGGCGACGATGGCTTGCTGGCTGCAGTTGGCGGCCACCCAGTGGCACCTCTCCATCCCCTCGCACCGCATAGCCCATGCCTGCTGCTCCTCGAGGTTGGGAGGCATGAAGCTCAGCTTGGTAGGAGGGCCACAGTCCAGCTGCTGGCACACACTGTCCTGGCTCACACCATCCCAACACACAGGGCTCCATCCGCTCCACATTTGCACCTCCAGTAGCCCAGTACAGCGGCAGCCACCACCAGAGAGCCGCAAGGTGGGCTTTTCTGGAACAGTGAGCATTGGTGGTCAGCATCCCCCGCCTGGCACTGGGCAGGCATCCCATGCCACCGTGGAACCATACAGGTTCCAAAACCCCAAAGCCGGAGCCCCAAAGCGCACTGACCTCCAGGGCCCAGGGCTGCTCCTCTGTGCCTGCAGCCAGCTGCAAGAGAAGGAGGCAGCATCAGCCTGCGCCCCACACCATGGGCAGTGTGCCCCAGGAGTAGCACAGCGTACTCACCCCACATCCCCACCATGAGCAGAAGGCACAGGGCGGGCGCCTGGGCTGCCATGCAGTCGTGCTGCCTCCTCCGCCCCGGTGCTGGTGGCTGAGCGGGAGGTGTGTGGAGCAGCGACGCCTCTGTACCCAGCCTGGGGAAGGGAGGCCGGGGGGGGAGAGACTGGGAGGGGGAGGGGGCAGGCAGGCAGCGGCAGGCTGTTTTTCTTCCCTCTGTGGTTTTTGCGTCACATCTTCCTCATTTGAAGTTGCATCCTGGCAGCTGCCTCGCCAGAGGCAGAACCAGCGAGAAAGAGGGGGACTGTACCTCATTTTTGACCCCATGCTCATCCCCCACCCATCTACAACCTCATAACATCTTATCTCCTTCTCTATCTCCATCCAATCCCCACTCCATCCTCATCTCCATTTCCATCTCCATCTCGTTCCCTTCCTGCCCCCATTCCTGTTCCCATCCCCATCCCATCTCCAGTCTCATCACATCCCATCCCTGTCTACATCTCATCTCTATATTCATCCCATACCCACTGCCTCCCCATCCCATCTCCAACCCCATCCCATCCCTATCTCCACTCCTTTCCATCCATCCCGTCCCCATTCCGTCCCCATCAAGGGATCCCCATCAGCCCCCAGCCCCACAGAAGGAGGGAGCCCAAGGAGAAGTGAACGTGCCCAGCACTGGGGGCCATGGGGACCTTCCTTGTCCTCGGGGTCCTCTCAGGGCTGCAGGCAGTGTGTAGAAGCCAAGCTGAGCACTGGAGCTGCTACCCAAAGCTGGGTGAGCACCACGTGTCTCGTGCCTGAAGCACTGCTACAGTTCTCACAGTTACAGGCATTCTGGGGACACAGCATGTCGCTGTGAGGCACATGGGTGCTGGGGAGGCACTGATTGATTGCACCCTAATTAATTTCCCCAAATCCAGGTCAGGCATGCAAAGGAAACCGCTCGCCATCGACTTGGTGGCAGTGCTGATGAATGGCGGCTCCACAGGGCCACCAAGCTCTCCACACAGCAACACCACAGCCCTCTACCTGCAGAGGCCCCCCACCCCACAGCCTCACTCTGGCCCCACATCTCCACTCCCAGGGAGTTTCCTGCCTCAACACTTTCTCAGGGCTGAAGATTTTCCGTGACTCAAGTAGAGGTCTCTAAGAGATGCTCAGGGTGGGCAGCGCTGATCCTGCTGGCTGCAGCGGTCCGTTGGTGGGACCCAACGCGCTCACCCCATTTCTCACCGAAACGCAGAGCGGTGCTCAGTTCACCACCAAGTAGTGGGGACGTGGTACTTGGTGCACCCTAAATCTGGGCGGATAGCATCGTGCGCAGCGTAGCTTGGCCCCACACAGTCTCCGCTCGCAGCCCTGCTCTCGTCTCCTCTCTCTCCCCTTTGTCTGGGGTTTTGTTGCTATTTCAGTGCTTCCTCTGTTGTTGCGGTGCGGCCCCTTTGTTCTGGGCTGCCAGAGCCGCTCAGCTCAGTAAACAGCTGGAGGATGTGACAGGGGGCAAATTTTCCACTGTGGCTCAGAGCCCGGAGGCGATGATAGCTCAGCTTCCCCAGGACCCCGCTGGGTTCCATGCTAGTCTGAGCATGGCAGCCCGAGTACCCTTGGGATGGGGCAGGGTGTCGGGAATGGCATCCCTTGGGTACACCCAGAAAGAGATGAGGGCTCGCCAGGCAGATGGGGCTAAAAGCTTTTAATGGCCCACGGCTGTGTTATGGATAAGAGTCCCCTCCCCGCTGCCTGTTCCCACTCTCAGCAGCCAGAGCCCTGGATGTCATCGTAGTCACTCCCCTCAGAGAAGCTGGGGTCCTGTGTGTGTTTCTCTAGGGGTGGGTCCCCACATGTCTCGGCACCCTGCACGTTCTCATACCACTCCCCTGAGGAGGTGCTGGAGCTGTCAGCATAGTTGGGGTCTGTTGGGGGTGGGGGTACCCACGGCATGTTGAGCACTGGGATGGGCACACAGGGCACGTCTGGGGGTGCTGTGGAAAGCAGGAGATGTATGAGCACCTCTCAGCCCTCCTGCCACTCCCTGGGTCCCCGCATCCATCTGGGACTGTCCCCATCCCTGGGGGTCTCACCAACCCCATTGCCATCCCCAGAGCTTTTCCCTCCCAGGAAGTCACACTAACACCATCCCCATCCCCAGGGCCATCCCCATCCCTGGGTGCTCTCACCATCCCCATTTCCAGAGCTATCCCCATCACTGGGTGCTCTCACCATGCCCAGGGCTGTCCCCATCCCTACAGATGATTCAGTCCCCTTACTGGTGGGTGCTGTGTGCGGGTGGGTGCTGCGTGATGGGGGCTGCGGGCAGTGCCAGGCACCTGTGGAGGCTGCGCTCTCACCACAGTAGGGCTCCGGGGAGGAGGAAGAGGAGGAAGAGGATGAGGATGAGCTCCCCACCCTGCCCCATGGGTGGGCACACTGCACGGTTGGCACTGCGGGGACACAGGGTGCATGTCACTAGGGAAGCACAGGGCCACCATTCGCCCATCCCTGGACAGGCAGACAGACAACTGTGGGACAGGAGGATGGTGCTGGCGCACCCTCTGTGGGAAATGGCTCCATCCCGTCCTGGGTGGGCATCAGCAGCTGCTCACCCGGCGGTCGGCGCTGTGAGTCTGTGGGGTGTGAGGAAAAGGGTCAACGGGGGAATCCAGTATAGTGGGGAGGTGCCGGGGTGGGGGCTGGGGTCTCACTGTGGAAGGTGGAGAGGGCCACGGGTGGCTTGCTGCTGAAATCGTAGCGTTCATAGTCAGAGTCAGAGGAGTCGGAGCCCTTGGTGGTGGGAAGGGTTGCTGGTGTGTAGTCTGCAGGGAGAGAGAGAGCTGGGGCTGCAGTCACCAGCAGATCTGGAGGGGCTGTTGGACTCAGGGAGCGTGTAGGACTGATGGGGATGGTGGGTTGCTGGGGTTGATGGGGCTGCCGAGGACTCATAAAGCGGATGGTGCTAACACAATGAGTGATCTGCTAGACCCACCTGGCCCCTTGGGGAGGTCTGCGGGTGCCTCCCTGTAGTTGTTGCAAGTCTCCAAGGGCATGTCGTGACCCTGGCTGCTGTGGGTCACCAGGAGTGGCACTGGAGTCCCCAGAGTGAGAGCTGCAAGAATGGAGAGCATCAGTGAGAGTATGGCTGGGAGCAGTGCCCCATGCAGCCCCTATGCCCAGGGAGATCCTCACCGCTCCTCTTCCTCAAGTACAGCAAGGCAGTGGAGAAGACCACCAGTGTGAGCAGGAGCAGCACTGCCAGCACCACACATGAGATGAAGAGAGGCATGTGCAGAAGGGACAGGCCCCCAGCTGCACCCAAGCCCTTTGTGGCTGCAGCAGAGAATGGACAAAGCTCATGACGCTCTCCTACACACACCTCTTCACCCCTTGGTTCCCCCAAAGCACACTTACTGCTTGGGGATGTACCACCACTTGGCATCACGGTCACCTCCAACGTTGGGGTCTGCAAGCCCAGGGAGCCTGCAGGAGGGCAGAGGAGAGGCTGCAGCCTCAGAACCCAGGTGGGCTGCTGGCCCAAACCTTTCCCCATGGGGACAAAGAGTGCCGTACCGTTGCAGACGACACCGGCAGCACGGGACTCGTGGCAGGGAGCTGACTTGTTGTAGGTCCAGCGGCAGTACGCCAGTGAGGGCTGCCAGTCCGGGCACTCATAAAGCATCTTGGTGGGCAGTGTGTGGTGGAAGGAAGGACGCAGCAGTGGCTCCCCGCAGCCCAGCGTGTGGCACAGAACTGCAGCCTCCAGCATGTACCAGGTGCTGTCGCACACAGTGCTCCATGTCCCACGGTAACGCACCTCCACGCGACCCGCGCAGCCGTCCTTACCTCCGGACAGCCGCCACTCGTGGTGCTCTGCAAGGGCACTGTCTGGGGTCAGGACGGTGCCACAGCACGGGGGGCAGCCATTTCCATGACACAAGGACCAGACAGCGCCACGGCACCGCTTTTGGATGGTGCTGCAGCACGGGCACAGTGCCACAGGCATCCCCCCCCCCCCCCAGCGCACACGTCACCCACCCGAGCACACCACGCTGGCGTCCTCTTTGTGGCTGCAGTCGTGCTGCAGGGCAGCAGGGCATTCCCTCAGCTGCTCCTCGTGCCCGCTGCAGTTCACCTCGTCCAGCAGCACGGGGCCGTGCCCCCGGCCGAAGGCGGCCTCTCGCGGCGCACGCAGCGCCCAGCCGCAGCCCAGCTGCCGGCACACCACGGCGGCGTCAGCCAGGTCCCAGCCGTCGTCACACACCGTGCCCCAGCTGCCCGCCTGCCGCAGCTCCACCCGGCCCTCGCAGCGGCTGTGCCCACCAGCCAGACGCAGCACCGGGGCACCTGAGTGAGATGGAGAGGCGCTGGCACACGGCACTGTGCCACGGGGACGGCGTGCACCCACTGTGCCCTTACCTGTGCAGGTGACGTTTGCCGGCCCTGCTGCACAGCAGCTGGGCTCAGTGGCCAGCTGCAGCTGGCAGAGCTGTGGCTCCCACCCACTGCAGTTGGCCACCGCAGTTGAGCATCCCTTGGAGAAATCTCTGTCACTGTCCAGGCTTGCCATCACCGCATCACCCTCAGCATCCCCGCAGTGCAGGTGGTGGCACAGCTCCCGAGAGGCAGCAGCACTCCAGGACTCCCGACACACAGGCATCCAGTGGCCACTGTGCTGCACCTGCACTGTGCCCTCACAGGGGTGGCTGCCACCAGCCAGGCGCAGCATGGCTGTGCCCCAGGGACCTGCAGGTAGCTCGGGATGAGGGTGGCGGGGGGGTCCCTGCTCCCGCTGCCCCACAGATGGATGCCCATTCTCACCTGGCTCTGCCGAAGTGTTGCTCGGCGCAGCGGTGGGAACTCCCGTTGCCTCGACTGGAGCTATAAAGAGAGGGCAGGGAGGTGTAGGATGACAGTGGGGTGCTGGTCCCCAGCATGGCACCGGAGGTACAAAATGGCGACCAGAGGTTGCCTGCTGTTAAGCCAAAACCTCAAATTCATCCCATGTGGCCACACGTTGACCCTCCCGGTGCAGGGGACCGCTCTGGGAAAGACTTCAGGCTTAGCAGTGGGGCTTGGGACAGGCCTGTGCCCAGGTGATTGGTGGTGAGGGGAGATTTTAGGGCACCATGCATGTGCTGGGGGCAAAATGGTGTCCGGGTCTGTTGGGAACAGAGGGCTGTGAGCTCAGCGCCTCACTGCTCAGCTTGGGAGGAGGAGAAAAGCAGAGGCACCTCTGCACAGCCTGCAGCATGGGCAAAGCATTTGCTTTCTCTCAGCAGTGCTCCACGTGAAGCAGCATTCTTTGCAGAACAACGGTCTGGTGCAAAAAGCAGGGTGGGATGGGATGGGGTGGGATGATCCTGGGGAACAACGGCAAAGCTTCACCTCCCTGGTGGCAGCAAGGGGACACGGAATGGGAGACCTCATGCTGGGTCAGACCCCACTGGTGCCGAGCATCCTCACCGTGTATCAAACCCAACGTGTCGGCGACATCCCACCAGGGCTGGGGATGATGGCATACCTGGTTTGGGCACGGCAGCAGCGCAGAGAGCAGCCAGCAGCAGGCACAGCACCTCCATCCTCACCTCCTGCCCATTGCGTCGGGTGCTGCTCGGTGTCGGGATGTGGCCCCGTGCTGCTGCATGCCGCACGTCCGGCCCCGGTATGCAGGAAGCCAGGGGTGCCGGTGTGGGGGTGGTTCCATCCTGTCCCACTGCAGCATCACATGCCCGTGGGAAGCGGTACGCTGAGGGGTAACGGAGGCAGCTTGGGGACCATGCCGTGCACCCGTGGTGTCCCTGTAGTGCATCGGTGGTGTGGGAGAAGCTCAGAGCACTGCGGGATCACACTGCTCCCCACTCTGATTTGGGATGAGAGGGGTTAGGAGAACCCACGCGCACTACAGGGACGAACTCTGCCACCAGCAGTGGGGACAGGGGGACCCTGGGATAACCAGGATGGATTGGATGCAGCCGATCGCTTTGGCATCCAGGGATAAAGAGGTGGGCATGGATGTGTGGTCTACCACCGGAAACCACAGCAGTGGGATGGGAAATGGATTTGGGAGCCTTCATGAAACTGAGGAAGCCCAGCACAGCAGCTACATCACTGTCTCCATCCATCCCCATTTCCTTTCCCCATTCTATCCCCATCCCATTCTATCCCATCCCATCCCATCCCATCCCATCCCATCCCATCCCATCCCATCCCATCCCATCCCATCCCATCCCATCCCATCCCATCCCATCCCCATCTAATCTTCATCCCCATCCTATTCCCATCCCATCCCATGCCCATTTCATCCCCATCCCCATTTAATCTCCATCCTGTCCCATCCCATCCCCACCTAATCTCCATCTCATCCCCATCCCATTCCCATCCCATTCCATTCCTTTCTATCCCAAACCCATTTCATCCCATCCCAACCCCATCCCCATGCTGCCCACTCCCTGCCCAAGGTCACAGCAGCTGGGCCATAGCCAGGATATTCCTACATGCACCCACACCTGGTGCCAAAGCAAACAGCCTGTGCTTGTCCCCAGCAGTGCAAAGTGACCCAGTCCTGTGTCACCACACCAGGCACCACTCTTCTGTTTTAAATATTTTATTTCTGTAACAACAATCAGACTTAAAAATCTTCCATAAATAAGGGTCCCCACCCCACAGCGCAATGGGTACAAAATGTTGTACAAAACGGACACGAGGCCGGTCAAGGGGGGGGCACAGAACTCAGCATCAGCACTATGAACACAATGTGGCAATGAGAACCGCAGCAAGGAAGGGGACCCCGTGTCCCCAGCACCGCAGTGGAAACCCCAGGGCAAGGTGACAGCGGGATGTCACTGATTCCCAATGGGGCTTAGGGATGGTCCCACCAGCGTCCCCTCCACGGAGGAACAGGGACAAAGAGGACGGTCCTGGTGGGGGTCAGGAGCTGCCACGGATCCTCTCCATGTAGCAGCGCAGCTCCTCAGGGTCACGCAGCCCCATGTCCTCGCACACCCAGCGGATGTCATCCTCACCAGCCACCAGGATGGACTGCACATTGGGGGTGGGCTGGGGGGGATCCTCGGGGGCACGCTGGGGTGCAAAGGTGACGAACTCCACGCGTTTCCGCCGGCTGCCCCCTGGCACAGGCCCCTCTTTGCGGGGCTCCACTGAGGTGCCACTGGGGGACCCCGTGTCGGGTGCCAGAGGGTCTGCACAGCAGCAGCGCTCAGGCTGGGGGCCCGGCAGGCTGTCAGGCTCAGGCTGCCGGCGGTCCAGCTGCCGGCTCAGCTCCTCCTGGTCAGTGCCCAGCCAGACCCAGTTGTGGGGCTGAGAAGCTGCAGCAGCGGTGCTGGCGTCGGGTGGCTCCTTCTGCTGGTAGCGCAGCACAAAGAAGACGCAGTTAACGAGGAAGATGAAGATGGCCAGGCAGAAGACGCCCAGCAGCACGTACATGCCGATCTCCAGGTCGCTCACACGTGCAGGGGCCTTCACCATTTCTTCCTTCTCCTCCTCCTGCATGCCACGGCCATAGCCTTCCTCTCTTTCCTCCTCCTCCTCCTCGGAGGAAGACCCCATGCCCTGCAGCTTTGTGTTGACCAGCTCCACATCACCATGCTCCCCCTGGCCCGCCGTCACTGCCTCACCCGACATGGCCCCCTCTGCCCTTGGGAATGGCATGGGAGACCGGGGGCTGCTCGGGGGGGTCCTGCGCTCCCCAGCCACCTCTAACAAGGCAGTGCCGGCAGCCAACACAGCGGCACGGTGACGGCCACGGCGGCACACATCCAGGGGGTGCAGACTGAGCTGCAGCAGGGCCCCTCGGCCCGGCCCCTCCGCCACCACTCGCGGATGCCAGGATGAGGTCCCCACCACAGTGACCACGGTGGGATCCAGCGAGGTGACAGCCAGCACGGCGTCCTGCCCACCGTACAGCTCCATCGGTGCCAGCGTGCCATCAGAGAAGGACAGCCAGACAGATAGCGTCGCCTCCTGCCAGGACACCGAGTGGCACCAGGGTGGCACCGGGGCACAGAGCTCCCCCTGGGCCACCCACAGATCCTCACCTGCTTGGAGCCCCGCAGCGTGGCCGTGGCCTGGCACACGGCAGTGAGCAAGCCAGGGTGGCTAGGCTCCAGGTGCAGTGCCAGCTCCAGCCCTGCCACCACTGCAGCACGCAGTTCTGTCACTGCCACCTTCTCCTCCGACACCACCAGCATCTGCTCGCCCAGGATGGCGTCCGACAGCGGGGAGCGCACCTGCAGGCAGCTGGTCAGCATCCCCTCCAGTACCGCATCTCCCTGCGTTGCCCCAAACCTACCTCCACTGAGGTGACGCCGGGTTCTCGGCCCACCAGCACGGTGCCGCCTTCCAGTGATGCCACACGGGGGTCCTGCACGCGTGCCCAGCTGGCCACCAGGTGTGTGACATCCAGCAGCCACTCAGGGCCTGGCAAGTAGGACAGGTGGCGGCCACCATCCTGTGCATGTGCCACAAAGTATGCCAGGAACCGCACTGCCGTGCGCTGATACTGCGGCCGGCAGCTCCGCGTCCGCCGCTCAGCATCCTCCCCAGGGTCCTCCACATCACTGCTAGAGCTGTGGGCACGAGGACACGTGTGTCACCCACAGGCAGAGGGGCGAGTGCCATGAGTTCCAGGGGGGGTTGGTGGGGTACTGGGTCACGGGATGGGGGGCGGGGGCACACCGTGAGCGCCATTTGGACTCAGAAAGACGTGCGGCACGTGCACCATAGGTCTCAGAGGGACAGGGACACACAGCACAAGTGCCAGCTCCCGTCCATCCTACGCCAAAGCAGCAGTGGCACAGAGTGCTCCTCTCACCTGTCAGTGTTCCCGGGCAGGCGCCAGCCACGCACCTGCTCCAGGGCAGTGTCTCCCAGCTGGACACGCAATGGCAGCAGCGGTGCCCAGACGGTGAAGAGCAGCGAGGCATGCAGGCGGTGTGCCCAAAAGTCCACCCGCACCCCACGGGCACCACGGCTCTCCTTGCCCCCCACAAACACCGCGTCACAGCCCTCCGACACCTGTTGGGGCACACGGAGGGGCAGAGGGTGCCCAGGGAGTGCGGCTGGGGGGGCTGGGACCATGCTCACCTGCAGCACCTGTGTATCTGCTGACTCACAGCCTGGCGGCTCACTGAGCTCAGACACGGTACCACCCACCTCCACCGTCACCAATGTCACCGGCATGGTACGGGGGACACCGGTCAGCGGGGACGTATTGAGAATCTCCAGCTCCTGCGGACACAGTGGGGCTGAGCACCGTGGGAAGGTGGGGTGGGTTGCGGGATGGGGGCACCCACCTGCACCAGGGGGACGAGGACGCGCATGTCACGCTCCGACACCTGCACCTCCCACACCAGCTTGTCCTTCTGCGCCTCAGGGTCCTGGCCTGGGTATTCCACCTGCCAGGTGAGGGGTCGTGCCAGTGCCTGAGCCCCTGTGCCATTCTCCACCGCCAGCTCCAGATGGAGGAGCTCAGCCGCCTCCAGTGCCCTGTGGGAACAGAGCTCCGGATGGCACCCACTGGGACGGGGACCCAACAGAATGGGGATGTCCACCAACAGAGACCCACTGCTTCAGGGCCGCCCCACATCCCAAACTAGGACCTACTGGGATGGGACCATCCTGCATCCCCCTTTGGGATCTATTGCTGAAATGGGGCTCTCCCACACCTCCTGCCATCCCATTAGAATTTGCTGGGACAGGGACAGTGCAACATGCACAAGTTCCCTTGCCCAAGTGGGCCATAATACCAATTGGGCCACGGTGGCATGGATGCAGTGCCACGCACAGATCTCTGTACCCATACTGGGATGGATGCAGTGTCACGCACAGGTCCTTGTGACCAACTGGACCACAGTGGGATGGGAGCGGTGCCACACACAGGTCCCATGCTCAAATGGGGCCGTACTGAAATGGATGCAGTGCCACACACAGGTCCCCGTGCCCAAGTGGACCCCACCAGGTGCCACACTGAAGATCTCTCCCGTGTCCCTGCCCCTACCTGGTGCTCCTATGGATGTCCCTGCTGCGCCGACACGTCACCACAGCCGACCAGTGCTTGGGGCCACGGCTGCGTTCCAAGTGGACAGTCCACGCAGGGTCCGCAGACCTGGCGGCCACCACCTGCAGCCCTTTCTTGGCCTTGACTCTACGTAAGGAGGAAGGGCCGTCACACCGTGCCCCCGTCACAACCCCCCTCCTCACCACGTGCTCTCACCGCAGGGTCAGCAACATGGCGGTGAAGTTGTGCCGCAGCGCCAGGCTGGCGGTGAAGCGCTGCCCAGGCCGCAAGGCTCTGTCGGGGACGCGCAGCAGCACCCTCTCATCCAACGGCACCTCTTGCCGCCGTGCCACTGCCGGCACTGTCTGCAGCTCCAGCATCCCCACGTACCGCAGGGGCTCCACTGTGGCTCTGGGATGGCTGCAGGTTCCTGGCCCAGCCACACCATACCACAGTTCGACTGACTCCGGGGACGTCACCGGGGAGAACCAGCGTGCTGGGATCTCCAATTCCACCAAGCAGATGCCCAGTGGGGCCTGGGGGGGGACAGCAGCCTTAGGGCTGGGGGCAGAGCGGGGCCAGCAGCGCTACGGCGACAGCACCTTGGGGCTGCGGGTTGCGACCCACCTGCACACGGCAGGAGCCTTGCAGCGTCCGGCTGCGCTGCTGGGCCTGCAGGACAATGCAGGGCAGCGAGTGCTCCCCAGGGGGGTCCCGCCGTCCACGCCAGTCAGGGCCGTGCAGGTGGAAGAGGACGCGGGCGGTGGGTTCATCTGGACTCACAGTGCTGTGCAGGGGCACGGCACGGACGGCCCAGGTGTGACTCTTGGTGGGCACCTCCTGGAAGAGACGGGGATGGCGGAGTGGTGGCCCCTGGGGGTCAGCACGGCTTTGCGGCGGTTGGCATTACCTGGTGGGTGCTGAAGGGCGGGTAGGAGGCTCGCAGAAGAGGCGGGGGGCCAGCGGTGGGCTGGCGGGGCAGCAGCAGGAAGGTGTCGGAACGGGTGTGCAGAGAGGTGTTGGCAGGCAGGGCTCCATCCGCACGCTGCAGGCGGTAGTGCTCGGGCACTGCCTGCAGCTCCATCTCCACAGGCAGGAACACGGGCTCCGGGGGGGACCACTCGCTGCTGGCTGCGGAGATGGAGACCACCGTCACCAAGGCGAGGATGGGCACTGACACAAGGGAATGGCTTTCCCGTGGGCCGTGGGCGCTCTGCTCCTGGGGAGTCCGACCCCCAAGCTGCCCAGGAAGGAGTCTGCTGGGGGGAGCAGTGCTGAGTGAGTGCTGGGGGTGGGAGCCAGGCACTGTGCACCTGGGGATACAGGGCTTGTGTGGGACAGATCCCCACCAGATCCGTGGAGCACATGGGGCAGATTCCAAATGGATCGTGGGGACTGGATGATTCCTAAGGTCCCTTCCAACCCAAGCATTCCATGGTTCCGTGATCTTCAAGGACCCTTTCCAACCCAACCATTCCGTGGGTCTGTGATCTTCAAGGACCATTTCCAACCCAACCACTCCGCGGTTCCACGACCACCCAGGGCAGACCCCGGTAAATACCGAGGAGCACATGGGCAGATCCCAGCTCATCCCACGTCCACCTCCCGGCTCTCCCCGGGTAGCCGTGCGGAGCAGTTTCCGGCCCGGGGGGAATTCGGTGCCCGCGGTGCTCACCTGAAGCCCCGAGCAGGGCGGCGGCCAGCAGCAACAGGTACGGCCCCTCGGCCAGGGCCATGGCCGGACCGGTTCCGGAGCCGGGGCCGTGCGGGCTCCGCGGAGCGTCCGTGCGAGCGGAGCCTCCGCCGCCGTCCCTCCGCCTCCGCGCGCAGACAATGGGGCCGGGGCGGGACCGGCACCGGCGCCGCCTCACCCCGGCGGGTCCTAAACACCCCGCGCCGGGCACTGCGGGACCCCGAGGGAACGGACGCGGAGCGACAGTCTTGTCTCGAGCCGGGCACCGGGAGAGATTGAGAGACACTGGGGAGATGGGGAACACCGGGGTGTGCTGGGCGGTCTGGGAAGGACGAGGGATATTGCGGGTGCTGGGGGAAATGGGAAGGACTGGGCGCACTGGGAGACCTGGGGAGATAAGGGGCATGGGCGGCACTGGGAGAGTGGAAGGTTTGGGAGGCATGAGGACTGGACTCCATGTGAGGACTGGAGACACTAGAGAGAGCTGAAGGCATTGGGGACACTGGGGCACTGAGGGACTGGGAGGGACGAGGGGTAATAAGGGCACGGGGAAGGGTGGGGGACACTGGCGGAGCTGGAGGGATTGGGAAGGATGGGAGACACCGGGGGAACGAGGAAGGGTGCGGGTGTTGGTAGGAATGCAGTATGCTGGGGAGAACACAGGAATTGCTGGTGGGACTGGGAGGGATGAGGGACACTTGTGGGACTGGGGATTCTGAGCAGGACTGGGAGGGATGGGAGGAATGGGGGGCACAGGGAGGGGTGGGGTTGGGTGAAGGACTTGGGGCACTGGGGCACTGGGATCACTGGACAGACTTGGAGGGTAACTGAAGGGACTGGGGGCACTAGAGGTACAGGGAAGGGAGTGGGACATTGTGGATGCTAAGCCAAAAGTGGGGAGATTGAAGGGACTGGGAGGGCTGGGGGCCACAGCAACACTGGGGACACTGGAAGGGACTGGAATTGATGGGGACACAGTGTGGGAGCCAAGGGCACTGGAGGCACTGGGGGAATACTGAAGGACAGGGGTGCCACAAAGCCAGAGGGCACCAGGGACAGAGCCAGGCATCGGCACCGATAACCTCAGCCTCAGCAAACAGGCGACGGAGACGGCACTCACAGGACAGCATGTCCTGCCCCCACCCCGAGTGTCCTCTGTGCCCCCCCAGAACTGAGCGCCATCTCTGCAGGCACAGTGTGGACAGCAAACTTTATTTGGTGGCCAAATAAACACAGCAGCAAACCAATGTGGCCAATTCCACAACAGCAATCCAAGCACGTAGCCCTCATCCTATGGCTGGGGGGGTTACCCGGTGTGGGACCCCCCAGGCACTTTGGTGTGAGCGGGTTCAGGGCTTGGGCGTGGTGTTAGTGAAGGCACTGATGCGGGGCACTGGGGGGGCCCATACACACACACACACACACACACACACACACACACACAGGGCCCCCCCACACCCCTCACTCCTCCGCACGGCCCCGTGCTGCCCCATAGCGCTGCTGCCTCCTCCGCAGCTCCTCCACCTTCCACTCCAGGCTGCGCACAGCAGCCTCCAGGTGTGCAGCAGGGCTGGGCGGGGGGGCCCTGCCACCTCCCAGCAGCACGTAGAGCCCCCAGAGCCCCAGCAGCATGGCTGCCCGAACCACGAGGCCGCTGTCCTCTGCCGCCGCCACGTGCAGGAAGGCTCCCAGGAAGACACAGAGCCGCAGCCAGCGCAGCACGGGCCACAGCAGTGCCACGACCCGGCCCAGCAGCCACGGCAGGAGGTGGACCCACATCACAGCTAACAGCCCCCACAGCAAGACCCGCTGCACCGCGCCGGGGCTCAGCGCCACGCTGCCCGCCAGCCAGGCCCCTGTGCTTCAAAACACGGGAGAATATTTGAGACCAAGCAGCTGCGGCTGCACCCGGGTGAGCTCACATTGCACCGTGCTCACCGTGCAAGCCGCAGGCGTCCAGCAGATCCCCCAGTGCTCTGCTCAGCACGGCCAGGCCCGATGAGATGGCCGAGGCGGTGAGCCAGAGTGCAGCCAGCAGGCTCTGCAAAGAGAAAGGGCCTCGTGGGGCCATGCCATGCTCACCACCACACCTCCCCCCCACCTCCGACTCCCTCTGCTCACCTCGGCCAGCAGGCGCAGCGGCTCGGCTTCCAGGCAGCCCTCCAGGCTGGCCCAGGCGGTGTGGCCCAGCTGCCACAGGGTCTCATTCAAGGCAGCCATGGCACCGCCGAAAGCCCCCATCCTCGGCACTGGCAATGGGGTCTGTGGGCAACGGGAGGGTGTGAGCTGCCCCCCCAGTCAGCCCCCCACAACCTGGTGCCCTCTCCAAGCCCCCCAGCCGCATCCCCAGGGTACCCTCTCAATGTGCTCACCCAGCATGCCACCCCATACTCCTCCATGACCCTCCTACGTCTCCCCCTATATCCCCCAATACAGACTCCGCAAATATGAACTCCCTGTATCCTCCCACGTGCCCCCCATACCACCCCATCTATCTGCCTGCCCATTCACCTCCACAACGCAGTACTCCCTGCAGTATACCCCAATATCCCATAACCCCATCTGCCTCCCTCATAGGGCTCACCCATATAACACCCCTGAATAGCCCCCCCCAACACCCCAGCGTGCCCCCATTCCCCCACTCCCCTCTACACGGCTCCCTCTCAACCTCCCTCAATGTGTTCCCCACCGATACACACAAACGTACCCCCATTACTCCCCAGTGTGCCCACCCATGCCGCCTCCCAATATAACCCCCATCTCCCTACATGCCCTCCCATGCTCATGCCCCCCATACGCCCCCTATGTAACCCATAGCACAGCCCCCCAATATTCCCCCATATGACCTTCCCCTCTGTACTCTTCAGTATCCCCCATATAGCCCCCCAACCCCCAGTGTCCCCCCATTGCCCCCCATTACAGCCCTCCCTCTAGTCCCTCAATATAGCCCCCCTCCCGTATGCCCTCCATATGTTTCCTCAAAGCATTCCCCCCCAACCTGCCCCTCAATATTACCCTAGGTGCCCCAGTCTGTGCACTCAATGCGCCCCCATTTACCCTCCCAGCACCCCCTGCCCACTCCAGGCCCTCTGCTCTCCTCCACCCCCCCACACCCTCCCAATCCCCCCTCCCACATTCCCCCCCCCAGCCCCCCCTTTTCCCCCTGCGCAGCGCTGTCCCCCTCCCCCCCCATCCCCCGTGTCCCCCCTCATCCTCTCCCCGTTCCCCCCGGGGTTCTCCCGCACCCTCGCACAGGGCAGCGCCGCCCACTGCCGCACGGGGGCGCTGCGGGGCAGGTCGGCCGCAACGCACGAACGGTCCTGCCGCGAGCCCGCCGCCGCGGGGCGCCATGGGAGCTGCAGTCCTGCGCGGGGTGCGCCGGGAGGCGGAGGTTGGGGAGGTTGGGGAGGGGGGGAGGAGAGGGGGTGTGCACTGGCGCGGGGCACGCCGGGAGCACTTCCGTTTCCGGCGGCCGCCTGAGCGGAGCCCGCGTAAGCGCTCCGAGCGTCGGTGAGGACGCGCGGAGCCGGAAGTGGAACCAGGAGCAGCCGGAAGCGGAGCGCGCAGGGCCCGCCATGGCTCTCATCTGCTCCAGTGAGCGGGGGGCCCGAGGGGGGTGGCGGCGGCGGCGGCGGCGGCGGCGGTGGGGGGACGGGGGGATCTCGGGACCACGCCGTGACAACCCAATTATATATTCTAGGGCGATTATTTTATTAAAATCTTATTAAAAATGCCGGGTCCGAAGGTTAGAACTCACATCTGCAAAATCAAAGGACCAGCTGTTGTTGATGATAATGTAGTAAGCCATGGGGAACGGTTGAACCATGACTCATCCCTGTTCTGCTGCTGTTCTCTCTTTTTTTCGCTTCTCCAATCCTTCCCTTAATTTGGTCATGGAATCTCTTACTACCCCGGTGTGGTCAGCATAAAAACAGCGTTCTTCTATGGCTGCACACAAACCTTCTTGTTGCAAGAATAACGCATCGAGTCCTCGCCCAATACTGTAATACTACTTCCGATAATGATGTGAAAGATTTTTCCAGGGCTGTTATAGACTTTTCGATTGTTGCCAAATCCTCATCCACAGCCTCTCGTAATGATTGGTACCTTGGATATTGCTGTACCAGAGAAGTGATGTCTGTGCCTGCTCCCACAACTCCTACAGTCATTAGAGTTGGGCCAGATGGGATGCACAAGTCGTGCACTAGCCCTTATGAGCCATCAGGTCTCCTCACAGGTAGTTTGGGTGTGTTGAATGGTGACATGCAGGGTTCTAACGAGCCTCTTGCTATTAATCGCTCAATCTCTGGTTGGAGTCCTTGTCGGCCTTCCTGTGAAATAGGGCACTGTTTTATCCTTACAGGGATCTCTGGGTTCTTAATGGTTACTTCAAAAGGGGCAATATCCAATTTCCCCACCGCATCCAAGGTATACTGCACCTCAGGATTTATCTGTACTTCATCCTTTACAGAATCACAGAATCACAGAATGGCCAGGGTTGGAAGGGACCTCAAGGACCACCAATCTCCAACCCCCTGCCACATGCAGGGCCACCAACCTCCACATTAAATGCTAAACCAGGCTGCCCATGGCCTCATCCAGTCTGGCCTTGAACACCTCCAGGGACAGGGCATCCACAACCTCTCTGGGCAGCCTGTTCCAGTACCTTGCCACTCTCTGGGTAAAGAACTTCCCCCTGATGTCCAACCTAAATCTCCCCTCCCTCAACTTAAAACCACTTTATTGTCAGGGTGCACAATTGTACAATCAGCTTCTTGTTTCCAACTTCCAAATTAACTCCTCATTCAATCATCAGATCCCTTCCCAACAAATTATACTCTGCTTCAGGCACTAACAAAAAGGATCCGAAGCCATACCTGCAGGGTGCTTCTATCTCTACTCCTTTGATTACTGACACTTTAAATGGTTCACCCTTGGCTCCAACTACTTGAAGTTTTTCTGAGGAGACTGAGCATCCCCAGGGCAGCTTTTGGACAGTCGATCTTTCTGCCCCGGAGTCCAAAGGAACTCCATTTCCTGGCGCTGAGGACCTACTGTCAATTTTACCAAGGGCTCTTTTCCTTTAAGGGTCCCCAGCACATGGAGCCCCTGACCTCACTGATCTTCCTGGAACGTGTTCTTATCCTGTATTCCCTTTCTGCAATCTCTTTTCTCGTGTTCTTTTTTCTGGCAATTTGCCTCACATCCCTAGGCACTCTCTGTTTTCCATCTCCCTGTTCCCTTGATTGAGAGCCTTTTCTCCCTCTGGAGAATTCCCGCTTTGATTGTTGCCCTTCCCTTACTGCTGCCACTGAGATTCTAGCTTGCTTCCTGTGGATCTCCTCTTCTCGTCTTACAGATACCTTCTGTGCTTCCCTCAGTAATTCATCTAGTCCCTTATCCTGCCAGTCTTCGAACTTTTCCAACTTACTCCTGATGTCAGTCCAAGATTTTGCCACAAGCTGTTTTTAGTAGTGCCTGCCCTACGGGCGTAGCAGGATCTACTCCTGAATACAGCTGCAGGCTTTTACGCAGCCTTTCCAGCCGTTCAGTCGGGGTTTCATCCTTCTTTTGCTGCTCACTGAAGGCTTTATGAATGTTCTGTCCCCGAGGAACTGACTCCCTGATCCCTTGAATGATAATCGTTGGAGGTCTGACATATTAGCTCGGTGCTCTGCATTTTGCTTATTCCAGGGGGGCTTTTGGAGAGGCCGTTTCTCATCTGCTCCCGGGCCAGCCTGATGCTGATAATCCCAGATTCTCATTCCTGCCCTCCGGATCACATCTCTCTCTTCTGCAGTAAATAAGATCCCTAATATAGATTGTAACTCTTCCCAGGTGTAAAGACTCGGTCCCAAAAACTGGTCCAGCCTTTCAGAAACTCCCACTGGGCCTTCTGGTAAATTCCCCATTTCCCTTTTAAATTCTCTAACATCTCCTGAATTCAAAGGAGTAGAGACGCACCCTGCTCCTAGCTGCTGGACAGGTCCCATTACTGGGACTTCCCTAAGGGGGAACAACTTTTCCTCCCTGCAACTTTTTTGTTTGGTCTGGCTCCTGGTTCTCCTTCGGAGTCCAGGTGAGTCAGGATCATCTGACTCCTCTGCATCATTGGGGGGACTCCATCCCCTTATCTTCTACCGGAGCCCCT